AAATGCACCTTCATTCACACACACACATAATAAACACACTAGGAAATGCACATGCATTCACATACACAATAACCACACTAGGAAATGTACCTGCATTCACACACACAATAACCACACTAGGAAATGCACCTGCATTCACACACACACATAATAACCACACTAGGAAATGCACCTGACACACATAATAACCACACTAGGAAATGCACCTGCATTCACACACACATAACAACACTAGGAAATGCACCTGCATTCACACACACAATAACCACACTAGGAAATGCACCTGCATTCACACACACTTAATAACCACACTAGGAAATGCACCTGCATTCATACACATAATAACCACACTAGGAAATGCACCTGCATCCACACACACATAATAACCACACTAGGAAATGCACCTGCATTCACACACACACACACACACACACACACACACAATAACCACACTAGGAAATGCACCTGCATTCACACACACATAATAAACACACTAGGAAATGCACCTGCATTCACACACACATAATAACCACACTAGGAAATGCACCTGCATTCACACACACAGGACACACACACATTACAACAATAATAATGCATTTAAAGTATTTTTTAAAGTAATTGAAACACCAGAGTATCCTACGGCTCAAGCAGGTGTAGCAGTTGCTGTTATGAAAATGAAGGTTTTCCTTTTTGATGGAGTGAAGATAAACATGGAGATAACAAATAAGAAAGACCCAGATCACTGACAAGCAGACAGTGACTGTTAGCAGGGTGGAGTCTGCAGAGAGCCAGACCAAGTGCCTGCAACACAAAAGTCAGGGAGGTATGCACGGTAAAGACCTAGCAGACCTTGCTCAACCCTGAGAATGATGCCTCAGTTTGCACCCTGCGGGCCTGACCGATCTCAAGCCAACAATCCAGGCACAGAAGGTCACAGCTAGGGAGTATGCAGCTCAGTGTGCTTCCCTAACAGGAGAAATGCACTGCAGACAGTTCATTGCCTGGGGGCTGGGGCACAGGGAGAAAGAACTCCACTCTTCTAAAACATGAAGGAAAGAAAAATCACAAGGCAGTTTCCAGCCAGGAGTGCCACAGGCACAGCTTTCCTCCCACAACTGAAGGGGACAAAAAGAGTCAAGGTGCATCAATCAAAGGGGCATCTACCAAATGACACAGTGGAAGAAAACCTGTACTCCTGTGATGCTCAGCGCCGAGGCTTCATTTATTAAGCAGACCTAAGATACTTTTCCTAAGCAATACAACACACACTCTTTTTAAACTTTGATTGTGTACGTGACATGTGTGAGTGCAGGCATGCTTATGCCACATCGTGTGTGTGGAAGTCAGAGGACCACTTTTGGAAATTGGTTCTTACTGCATCCTGCACAGTGTGATCCGGGAAATGTGACTGGGGTGACGAATGAAGAAATGGCAGACAGACACACAGAAAACCTGGGACTGCGTGGGCTGTGCTGGCTCTGACGCACCTATGCAGCCTGGAAACTCAGTGAGTTACAATATACGACATGTGGAAGAGGGGTCAGCTCTTCTCAGTAGGAGGCTGCTGTAGTGGGGCAGTCTCAGGCTGTAAACCTTGAGGAGGGCGAGGCTGGTCAACGCTTTCTGCACACATTCAACATTCCTACCCAAGCTTTGCCATTTCCCTGAGCCTGATGGTGCACGCTCACTTAGGGCTTCAGCGGCGGCTCCTCAGAGGTTTGCTCCTTTCTTGTCCATTTCACTCATGGAGGCCTTTCACCTACCGAGCCAACTGAAAGCTCATCACACGTTCTTTTTGAACGTGCATATCTTCTACACCAAGAATGATGCACAATGACCATGCTTTTGGTTTCAAATGAGTGAGTTTATTAAATATATAGCAAATCAAGACAAAGAATGAAGTAGCAGGCAGCAGATAAACAGCAGAACGTTAGACTTGGCACTCACAGAATCCAGGGCGAGTGACACCTTTAAGCCCGTCACACAGAGGCTGCAGCAGGAGGGCTGGTCTATGAAATGAAAAGGGCACTTAGAGGATAATTCACAGCCTAGAAGTAGTTATAAAAGTCAAGAAAGACGAAAAGCAAAAAAACAAAACCAAAAACCCAAACCCAAACCAAACCCAAAATCTAGGCATTCAGTCAGTGTACCCAGGAAAGTTTTAGTGTTTATGTGTATGAGTGTTTGGGCTGCATGTTAGGTACACTGCATCTGTGCCTGGTGCTGGGCAAGGTCAGAGGGTACTGGATTGCCTGGAACTCAAGTTACAGTTGGCTGCAAGCAGCCCTGTAGGTGCAAGACACCAAACCTGGGCCCTCTGCAAGAGCAGTAAGTGCTCTAAACCACTAAGCCATCACTCCAGATCCTGAAATGTTTTTAAAATAAAAAACAAACAAAAAAAACCCCAATAAATCTCTGGTGTGACAGAGGAAAGAAACATAGAAACCAAACTGCATTTGGATTAAGAAAGTGGACACAGGGCTGGAGAGATGGTCAGTGGTTAAGAACACTGACTGCTCTTCCAGGGGACCTGGTTCCATTCCTAGCACCCACATGGTGGCTTACAACTGTCGGTAACTCCAGTTCCAGAGGATCCACCGCCCTCTTCTGGCCTCCCCGGGTACTGCACACACACGGTGCACAGACATGCACGCAGGCAAAACATTCATTCATATAAATAAAAAGAGAGTAGACACAAGCACAGATATCAAGGACTTTTTTTTTAATTTTTCTTTTTTGGTTTTTCAAGACAAGATTTCTCTGTGTAGTTTTGGTGCCTGTCCTAGATCTCACTCTGTAGACCAGGCTGGCCTGGAACTCACAGAGATCCACTTGGCTCTGCTTCCCCAGTGCTGGGATTAAAGGCGTGAGCCACCACCACCCGGTAGTTGAGGATATTTCTAAATGAAAGTTCTATGGAGAGTTTTAAAATGATAAATTGAAAATTTTAAGTGGATTTAAAAAAATAGAAACATATTTCGAGATAACCAAGTATTTATTCTCTTCTTTGCTCCAAAAATGAAATTTGTATTCATCCCTTGATTCATTGATTCAAGGACTATGCATTACTCAAGGATGGAGAGGTAACCTAAGGAGTCAGGATCAGGATGCTATTATCTGCTCCCCCACAGGACTCTATACATCTCCCAAACAAACCCTCAGACAACTTTGAAACATTGTTTGCAGATTCTAAGGCTCACCGAAAAAGCAAATGTCAGAAATTACAATTTTTTTTTGAAATAGGAAAGCAATTTGTCTGAGTAACAGGCATGCCCCCAAAGCATGTGTGGAGTCAGACATCCCAGTGTTTAGCTCTCCTGGTGGGAGTTGGCCTGAAGCAACCAGAGAGAGGAGAGTCAAGAACCAAGAGTCTTGGCTTTATCTTCCTGTCTGCTGAGCTTCGGTTTTTTGAGATAGGTCTCACTAGGTTTCTGGCAATTTTCCTGTCTCAGTGTGAACCGCCTGCCTACCCTGCTGTGGTAACAAATCACAGTCCACAGACTCCCATCTCACAGATCAGAATCAAAGGCACAGGCCAAGTTTTCCTTTCTTCAGGAGAGTATGGAGGCTACAGTCTTGTCTTCTTCAGTGGCGGTGGCTGCCTGCGGTCCTTGGCTTGGGGCCCCATTCTTTCAGGTGCAAAGCCAGAGGGCTCTGCTGAGTTTCTCATCCTGCCACACTCTCAAACTCACTCCCTCACCTCCCCTTTCCACATTTAACAGTCCTCCTGATTACGCTGGGATCTCCTGGGTAATCCGGAGTAATCACCCTGGGCATCTGTAACCTTAGTTCCCCTTGCCATTGGTTGTTAAGCATCCTCATGGGCTGTTTTATTACGTGGCTCAGGATGACCTGAACTCACCATCCTCCTGTCTAGCTTGGGATTCATTCACCACGCCTGAAAGAGTATGCACTACTTTTTTAAAATTAAATGTACACAACAGACATCATTTTAATGAAGAGATTTGACACGTATAACAGAAAATGCAATGTTCCAAGGCCCGACAGTCTACAAGTGGAATATTCCAGAAGAACTGGCTATCAAGAGAACCTACAAGTGGAGCTATCACATTAGACAAAGGGTGGATTTCCAGCTATGGAGGAAAAGGACAGCTCGCAAGAGGAGGCTGCAGAAGTTACTGCCAATCAGAGACTTGATTTTCATCCATTCAATATATACCAAACATCAAATATGGGTCTAAGATAAAGACCTGAAAGAAATTAATAGTGTGGAAAACTATATAGGGAAATATATTTGCACCCCTGGGGTTACAAGGCTTCCTTACATCCCAGTGCACAAAGCAAATCTTGGTAATGTTAACATAAAATGAAAATATAGGCAAGGGACTGAGGGAAGAAATGATTATCTGTATCAGAGACGTCCAGGCCACAGCCTGTAATCCCAGCTACAGGGAGGCTGAGGCAGGAGGTGGTCCAGTTCAAGGCCTTCCTGGGCTGCTGAGTGAGTTCAAGCCTGCGTGACTGTGTGAGATCCTGTCTCCAAAGAAAACAAGAGTGCTCGGAGTTGTCACTCAGTAGTAGAGCACATGGGAGGTCCAAAGCTCAGCTCTCCAAAACAAGAGACAGCCATAATCAGTCAAGATCTTTGTGTAGCCTGCTGAGGCCATGATACTACAATAAAATGAGACGAGACATGAACAGTTTAGTTCTCAGAAATGTGATGGCAGCAAGTATGGGAAACAACAGCAGAACCCACGTGCAAGGAACATACTGGTGGGGAGGGCGGGGGGGGGGGCGGGGGGGGGGGGTGGGGGGGGGGGGGGGGGGGGGGGGGGGGGAGGACGGCGGGGGACACAAGAGACTGGCTAATAGCACACTCTGATGGTGTTGAGGGGTTTAATGCCGTTGGGCCTCAGTTTCTCTACATAAAATAGGGCCAATAATACACCTCAACTCTGTTTTTTCAAGACAGGTTTTTTCTTTTTTCTTTTCTTCTTCTTCTTCTTTTTTTTTTTTTTGTAGCCCTGGCTGTCCTAGAACTAGCTCTGTAGACCAGGCTAGCCTTGAACTCACAGAGTACCATTGCCTCCTGAGTGCTGGGATTAGAGGTGTGTGCTACCACCACCTGGCTATACCTTAACTCTTAATTAGGGTAAAGATGGAATGAGTTACTAAAGGCATTTGGAATGATGCCCAGCACAGAGTAATGGTGCCATCCATGATGGTTCACTGTTCTGTGATATATGCACAGAGCCCTGTGCCCATCCAAGAGCCCTGTGCCCATCCAAGCTCACTCACATGCTTAGGAAGATGTTCAGCATAGCATCATTTACTATGACAAAACTGAATTACTTTGAATGACACTGACATCCAACAGATAAATACATTTTTGTACCTGTACAATATGGACTAATTGTTAAAAACCACTCACATCAGCCAGTGAGATGGCTCATTGGGTACAGAGGCGTGTTGCCAAGCCTCACCTGAGTTTAATCACTGGGATTTCCGTAGTAGGAAGACAGAACTCCTGCAAGCTGTCCTCTGACCAACACACACACACACACACACACACACACACACACACACACACACACACGCGCGCGCGCGCGCACACACACACACAAAAAACAAATAATGTAACAAAATTTACAAAAACATGTATGATCTGGGACACCAATATGATCTATAAACATAGACCCAATATGTGCATTTGCATAATATGCCCAGAGCAAGCTGGTGAGGTGGATTAGCTGATCATGGAGCTTCGGGTTCAACTGAGACCTGCCTCAATAAATATGGTGGGAAGTGAAGTAAGAAGATGTTTGATGTCAATTGTCAATCTCTGGCTTTCACACTCCTATATACATGCACATGCACACCACACACATACACATGCACACCACACACATACACATGCACACCACACACATGCACATGCACACCACACACATGCACATGAACACCACACACATACACATGCACACCACACACATGCACATGCACACCACACACATACACATGCACACCACACATATACACATGCACATGCAAAAAGCAAAATAAATTTAAAAAACTGTTATCAAAGGAGACCACCAGGCATGGAAACAGGGTTGGGAGAGGGCCTAAGGAAGACTTCATCAAATAAAGTATTTTTTTTTTTAAGTAAACATGCACTGTTTTGAAAAAATGCTTAAAAATTTTTAGATAATCACGATCACTTAGAATAATCCAAAATAGACACAGGAACAATGGAAAATCAAAAGAAGGTTGTGACATTAATTATTTATCTTGTGGCTTTATTTTCCTGGAAGTGAAAACTGCAAAGGATCCAGCCCTTCTGAGAACGTCAGCTTAGTCAGCGGCTCTCAAATTCTTAAACATGGCCTAAGAATGTCAAAATCAGACATCTTTCAATGAGAAACTTTCTACAATAAGTGTCTCAATTCCTTGTTTCCACTCCGTATCATATTTTGGAAGTTCTGCCTCCCTGGGAAGGTAATGTTTGCAAATTTAAAACCCGGCCCTTCAGTATTACTTAGCTGACATAAACAAATTAAAAGAAGGCCAGCCTAAGCCAGTTGTCTTTATCAACCTGATCCCCTCTGAAAATGAGAGGCCAAGTCAAATGCCCTTTAATACTATTTATTAGTGGAGTAATAGAACACATTTTGACAAGTTGAGCCGCTTTAACAGGCAGCTGTTAAAGTCTCTACAGGGCCTGTTTAGAATGAAATGGGAGTGAGAGACAGTCCTGTAACCGGTTCTACGCACAGCTCAGCCATCAACTCTATCCTAACCAAGTACTTTTTATCCAGCTAATTTACGGAGTGAGTCCCTCAGGGTCTCCAGCGTCTAGCAGTGCAGCTCATTAGAGCCCATAGCCAACTTTTCTCACTGTAGCCCAGAAAGCATGTGTGCTTAAAATATAATTAAATGGCAAACAAACAAGATCCTTAGTCGCTGACAGTCTCAGGATTTGTAAATTGACAAAGGCACGTACTTCTATGCGATTATTTAGAAAGCAGGATGAATTCCAGCCACTTATGGCAAGACATTTGCCCAACCGTTCATCCTGCATGCAATTAGGACGCTAAAGACTTGGGCTACGAGTTCCTCGTGGGAATTAAACTTGCAGGTCTCTTACAAACGCATAATGTGGTAAGACTTGCTGTCCAATGAGGTGTCTTATTGAAATGTCCCAGGCCGTTTCGCTTGTCACAGCTGTCCTTTCAGCCGCTTGCACTCACAGTGCATAGCTTTCATTACGAAAATAGAAATTTGTGTCCTAAGTGCTGTTACATTACTAATGCTAAATATTTAATTCCCCGGGGTTCCAATTATGGTTGAGCGCTGGCAACACTGATTCCGCTCTCTAATAACAACTGTAAAGGCAATTGGAGCATTTTTCAATTAATTAAATACATAGTGAACGAGTAACCTCTTGTCATTTTGCCCTCCAGGACCTGAGCTAATTGCTGTAGAATAAAATGTTTTGAAAATTAACTGATATTCTGGGCTGCACACAGTTATACCATTAAATTACAGTTTGCACAGTGAAGTTTGTCTTGCACATGAAGTTTCACTAGATGGTCTGCAGCTGTGAGAACGTACCTGGTATTATGGGCTTAGCGGGGCCTCCAATTAGGGCTAAGTTGAAAGCGAGCATGGCCTTTCAGAACCCATCAGTAGCAATGATAGTTTGCGCTGCTCACAGATGAGTGGACGGGTGTCCACCAGAAAGTTCCCCAGACTTCATGACAAGCATTTACTATCCAGCTTCAACATTCTGAAATGTGCTCAAAAGAATCCCTATCACTAATTATAGTCACACACAAAAGCTCAAAACTAAAGTTTTTGATTTTTTTATTTTCCCACATGAGAAAGTTGCTAATTGAATGTTTGGGAAAGGCCGCCTTTTTGAGATACTTTCTTGCAGTTTCTTGTTTCACCCTAGAATAACATCATAAATAAGCCCCAAATTGATGTCTCAGCTGAGAAGGATGAATCATAAAAGCAGATGCCACATTTAAAATAAACCTTTTTCTGAAGTACAATGAAATTTGATTAAAGAGTTGGTCTCCTTGTAGCCAACGTCGCTGACAGGTGTTCCTTAGCACCGGCTCTTGATTGGTCATAATCTGAAATCCATGCTGGGAAGCGAATGCCCCCTCGCAGCTGTCTGTCTAGCAGGGATGATCCCCTAAACAGGTTTCACTGAATTAGTCTCCACAGAAGCACTCCAGCTCGGGAAGGAAGGCACTGCAAGTGAAATTAATCACTCTGGGAGAGAGGGAAGAAATAATAGAGAAAATTTAATCATTTCCATACCAATCTTTAGGGTTTAAATCTTTAATATTTCTAAGATTATAGTAACATCTTTGAGAAATGAATCTTAATTACAGGATTAGCATGGAAGTACCAGTCAGTTAATATAAATAGATCAGCCTAAATTGCTGATCTCTTTTAGACTAAAGTGGATAATGAGGACTTTTTAGAATTCTGAGGTTGAGTTGACTTCTCAAGTATTAATGCCAAGATCATTGGAAAACACACATGGCCACATAGAGAAGAAAAATATAAATTCTCTGAAGGTTTATTGAAATATTAATCCATATGGAGTATAACATCTTAATAGACCACTAGCTTAATATATTTGTTACTAACAATTCCTTTTTTGCTGTTGGGGATCATCAACCATTCTTAACATGAGAAACCATTGAATCTGTCAATGACGACTTGTTGAGCTGGTTCAGTAGGTAAAGGTGTTTGCTGCCATGCTTATGACCTGGGTTCAATCCCTGGGTCCCAAATGGTAGAAGGTGAGAACCGGCCCCGACAAGTTGTTCTACATTCCTGCTATGGCATGTATACATGCACACACATGAACATAAGTAATATCAAATCTAGATATACAAATAATTAATTACCAAAAGTATGGATGTTTTCCAGACCCTCAAAACTATATTTTTAAACTGAAAAGTAAAGAGGATTTGCACTTTCAATATAAGTGGTTCAGATACTGTTTGTATTGAGAGGGATGTAGCTCAGTGAGTTCCTGTCTAGTATGTGTGAGGTCCTAGGCTCAATCCCCAGCACTGAGGAAAAGAAGAGAAAGAAATGGATTGAATTTTGTTCCCAAAGGCTCATGTTCCTAGTTTTGAAAAACAGTCATTTTACTAACTGACTAATACTCTGTAGCTAAGACTGAGTGTGGTGGCATACACCTATGATCCCAGCATCTGGGAGATGGAGGCAGGAGGGTCTCAAATTAAAGGCCAGCTGGGACTGCACAGGGAGATGCTGTCAGACAACAACAAATAAGCAGATATATGGTCCAAACAAATTAAACCTAATCTTTTAAAAACACTGTGACTACAGTAATCATTAAAGCCTGTGTATTTAGTACCAATGTTCCCAAGTTATTGGGCCTGGCTGGCCAGTTGGAGTCAGTCACTAGATCCCACAGGAACAGTCTTCATCACTGTCCAACCACATCTCCCGCTGGGATCACATGCTCTTGGATCAAGTGCCCTCTCCCTCCTCCCTCAGTGTGACCTAGCATACCACATGTGCAGAGGGGCTGGCAGCCCAGCCACACAGTCCTAACTAGGTCTTACCTGTTATCCAACCACACTCTCACCATGGGCTCTGAGAGCAGAGGATCCAGGTCCACCTGAAGCTCCTAACTGGTTTGACCTGGGTCCAACCTCTTGATGCTTAGCCTCCTCTGGTCTCCCCGCTCAGAGAAGGGACAGCTTAACTCCTCAGTGTCTGAAGACTTGAGGAGACAAGTCACCAAAGACTTGTGTGTAATGCATCCATATCAGTATGCAGAGCAGAGAGAAAAATCAGAGCCACTATGGGCCTTGCAAGAGCTTTTTAAGAATTAAAGCTTTATCTTTAGTCCCCACAGAGTACAAGCCAAAAGCAGGTCTGTTTGGCATTTGCAAGTGAAGGACGAGAGCTGAGGATGTGCTCATTGGTGAAGAGCTTGCCCAGCATGCCCAAGGTTCTCTACTCCATCACCAGCTCCACAAAGAAAGATAATGGAGAATCGGCAAGACAAATAAAGGCATTGTTTAATACACTGAACTTTTGATATGGCCTGTTTCAAAACTGACTTTCTTATTCGAGAGTGTGTTCCCCACGTCTGAGGCTTAAACTCCAGAGTTCCCCTCCCCTGGTTAGAATGAGTCTTGCAGGAAGCTAAGGGACCTCAATGACTGGAAAGGAGGAGCCAGAGCAAGTTCCCATCCTGACACTTGAGTGGGAAAAACAAAACAATAAAACTCACAGAACTGAATGCTGGTCTTTAGCTCGGTGCTTCCAAGTGACCATTCCACATCAGTCTAGTTCTATCACCTGGTCTCCAAGCCCACAAAGCCCAGGGCAGAGGAGATCTACAGGTAGGGCCAGGAGAGATACCCCTGGCAGCAATGGAGGGCACAGAAGCAGTTTAAGAAATGTCAGAAAAAACTAAAATAAAATGATACCAAGTCCTCTAAGGAGAACTGAGCTTTACAGTCCGGCTTGCACTGATGACCCTGAGTTGGCCCCAAGACCTCATGAGACCCCACCCATTATTTCAGAGGTAGATAGGCTCCTTTAGCAAGATCTCCAATACCAACAGCCACTGTTAATTCTTAAGACTTGACTATTCTGAAAACCCTCTCCCTGAGGGCTGCAGATCATAGTGGCTTGGGCGTACTTAGATAGTTTTATGGTTAATACACTGCAGTATAAATAAATATAGCTTAGTGTAAGCATCTCTGCTGAAAATATGTATGCCATAAAATGACAAATAAAATAGGTCAATAACTAAGCCCATAGTAAATAGCTCAGGCATAACATTAGCATTAACTAAGATAAACCCGCCTTCCTCGAAACTGATGATAAATTTATTCACAATGGAATTTCAAAATGAAAAGCTAAATGTGAACTTACATATACTCCACTTCAGGTGAGAAGAGGTCTTAGGAAAACAAACACAGCTTATGCATTTGTGTGTTCAACTAACACTCTGCACTGTTCTGATTCAATGTTATATCACAAAGACACAGTAGGTGCTTAATAACCTGTCCATGAGCAGAGCTGTAATTTACATACTGCTTAAATGCCAGGTAAGCAAAAGAGAGATACCAGGCTATTGTCAACTTTCTTTGGGGGATGTTTAGAGTGAAAACAAAGGTCTAAAGTGTATACTGTACACTGACTTTGATGGGAGTTGGGGCAAAGGCTAGTGGGTAATAGTGTCTTGTCTTGGTTGAGTTTAATAGTAGAAGACAATGGCTGATCTGAAGATACTTGGAGTAGGTGATGGGAATGTAGGATACCTCTGTTTTCAACACCAAATACATTCTGAAAACCCCCAACTCTCCTTCCCTGAGCACCCCATAGAGTGTAACCTTCCCCTTGTACCTTTAAGACAACTGCAAGGATGAGCTGGTGGACCCCAAATCTTCATTTTCTTGACTCTCTCCCACACTCCCGTCTTCAAGAAGGAAACCATGTTAGAGTCCACTGCTTTGTTCTGAAGTTGTAATGTGCTGTTAGATTCCTGGCACTGTAATGAGATCCCAGAGAAAGAACTTACAAGGAGAAAGCGCTGATCTGGGCTCATGGATTTAGAGGCTAAGTCCTGATGAGTCAGCTCACTGCTGTGGACCTATGTTGAGGCCACTCATTCACAGCAGGAAGGCATGATGGAGCCAGACTTCTTACACTGCAGGCCAGGTAACAAAGAAGAGACCAGAGACACACAAAATCCTTTGAGGTCACAACACTGATGACCTCTAGGCCCTAATTCTGACAGATTCTGTGACCTCCCAATAGTACCACCTTGAGGGCCAATCTTTTAGAAGAGGTCTTTGGAGTAATGTCAAATTACAAGTCTGTAAATGCTTTGTTTTGTTCCTACGTTTTTTCTTTTGTCACAGTTTACTATTATATTTTTAAAGTTGCTTTATAGTTTTCAGCCTGGCATATAGAGTCACCCCTGAGAAGTAAACACTGACCAATTTGAAAAATCAATGACTTCTAATTCAATCTGAGGTTCCAGAGAAAAATGTTAACCCCAAAATTGGAGATAGTTGGGAAGATAGAGAGAATGACTGTCCATAGCAGAGACCTCTGGGAAACACTTTCACAGTAGGAAAGTCCAGGCTAGGATTGACCAGCTGCTGGAGTCTTGCATTCAAATCTGGCCAGGAAGAACTAGGAGAGTATAGTCAGCTGGAGCCCCATGCTGTTGAAATGTCTCTCCTCAGCTTCGTCAAGGTCCAGAGCCTATACTAGAGATAAATCTTCCTTGGGCTTCTGGCAGGGGAAGAGAAAGTAAGCCCTGTGAAATATGCCAGAACATTCTATTCCATTCTGTTCCTACTAAGATCTGCCCAGTAGAAGAGCTTCTTAACCTAGTCTAACCAGCAAAGTTCCCAGTGTCAGGCTCATCCAAGCTCCTACAACACCCAGCTCTGGCCATCACTAAGCAGAGTCGGCTGGGAGGTACAGGGCTGAGGGCTCACTAAAGGCTGCAGCGTGCTTCCCCTCCTCTCCACACACCACTGAAGGCTACATTGTTTACCAGCTCTTCACCCAGCTGTCAGAAGGAAACTACAAACCACAGTAAGGAGAAAAGCCCACTTTGACTAGCTAGAGCTGGGGCCGAATGCAAACAGCAAGGCAGACGTTTAAAGCGAGGGGAACTACGGTGGCTTGTGTGATGCTGTCACTTCCAAAGCTCCTGTGTTGGAAACTCAGTCCTCAATGCAACAGCATTTGGAGGTGGATCTGAATGGGGAGATGTCACGAATGGATTAATGCTGCTATAAAAAGAGCTTGAAGGACTGGGTGCTTCTTCTCCCTCTCTGCCATGTGAGGACAGAGCATGAAGGCCTTCACCAGCCTCCAGAACTATGGAAGTAAATCCTCTTCCTTCCAATTACTCATCCTGTCACCGTGTTATAGCAACACAGGTCAGCTAAGACACCACACAGGAAACAACTCCAGTGGAGAAAGAAGAGGGTGCGCGAGGACAGAAGAGAAATACCAGCAGAGAGGAACAAAATACACGATGCTAGAGAGCCAACATAAATGAAGGTGTTTTTACTGTATGGATCCCACTGAGGAAAGCCTCTTGGAGTAAGGACATACTGTCATTTAAACTGCCAAAACTGAAGCACATGGAAAAAATGACTAAAAAACAAATAAAAAAGGTTAACAGCTTGGGCATGAATCCCAATGCTCAGGAGGCAGAGGTAGGCGGGTTTCTGTGCGTTTCAGGCCAGCCAGCACAATATAGTGAGACCATGTCTTTAAAAAAAAAAAAAAAAGGTTAAAATAAATATTACACAGACCATAGAGAACATGGAGAGATGTCTAGGTAGAAAACTTGGATCTACAGATTTTAAAGAAGGAAGAATATTGGAAAGGAGGAAGTGAGGCTGACAGAGGACAGAAGACACCGTTACAAAAGTGACTTGATGCCTGGGTTACTGGGGCAGGAGAGATGCCTTGAGTCACAGTGAAGGCTGAGGAAGAGGGCTCAGAGGAGAAAGAGCAAAGCAGGAAAGTTACACACCTATGTTCAGGCAATGGAGAGTGCCAAGGTGGAGGGCAGTGTGCCAGGGGCAAGCATCTTTGAGGACCAAGATGGAGTCCAGCAGCAGGAGCCAGAGACACTGTGATGTGCACACAGAGGTTAAGTGGGATGAGAGCTGTAGACTACAAGCTGTCAAAAAGCCCCTTGGATTGCTAAACAACAGGATAGGATGAGATCATGGAGACAGCTGGAGACAGCCGATAGGAAGACGTGTCCACAGCTTGTCCACAGCTTCCCAAAAGGCAGAAAGCTAAGGAGGTCAACAATTCCCCATGCACCAGAGGAGAGACAGGGCCAGAGGGGTTAAATCAGACTGGGAGGAACTGTTTAAAAGTGAATGGAGGGCCTGGAGAGATGGCTCAGCGGTTAAGAGCACCGACTGCTCTTCCAGAGGTCCTGAGTTCAATTCCCAGCACCCACATGGTGGCTCACAACCATCTGTAATGAGATCTGGTGCCCTCTTCTGTATACATAATAAGTAAATAAATCTTTAAAAAAAAAAAGTTTAAAAGTGAATGGAGTACTTTAAAACATAGAAGAAAAGTAGGAAATTAGGATCAACCAAGTGATTGGCTGGCCAGAGGCGAGCCCATTTCTATGAAAATGTGCCACAATTGTAGAGCTACTGGAATCAATATTGTTACTAAATATAAAATCACGAGTGTCTTAATTTTATTGTATTTTATAACCACTTTGAGTAAGTCTGTGACTCATATAAATTCAGAAACAACTCAGCCATTCTGAAGACACAGACTTGTAATACCAGATAGTAAAAGGCTGAGGCAGGAGGACTCCAAGTCCCAGGACAACCTGAGAACTCTGTGTTAAACTTTGAAACATAAAAAGAGGGCTGAGAATATATCTTAGTGGCAGAGTGCTTGCCTAGTATACACTGGGGAGGGGATGTTCAAATTCTTCTTAAAGGGGCCTATACCACAACAAAGCTCCCCAAATTGATGGAGTTTAGCAAAGGCTCTCAAGCACTTTCTTCTGACCTTGCACTTAGAAAATAGTGATATGTACACACTTACCCCAAACAATTTCTTTCCTTTTTTTCTTCAAGACAGCTCTGGCTGTCCTGGGACTCACTCTGTATACCAAGCTGGCCTCAAACACATACCTGCCTGCTTCTGCCTCCTGCTGGGATTAAGGGCGTGCATCACACCATGCCCAGCCCAAAGCAATTTCTTAATAAGGACATTGACTCAATATAGTCTTACCAAGTTACTCTCTACCTTCTTCTCTGGGCAATTTTGGTTTTAATTTTGAAGATCTTTCCAAAGACCTTACATGTCTTGGCTACTTTAAGTCTACAATGAACTACAATTTGAAACGTAATAGTTTTACAGATTATGTATTTAAGATACCAGACAAGTACAAAATTTTCCTTAACAAATACGAAGGAGGAACTGGATTGAACCTCCTGACCTGAAAGAGTCTAACAAGTGTGTTTTATGAGAACAAGCTTCTATCTGATTTGCACTCAGCCCCAAAGCTCTTCTTCCTCACTGTGGCCTGGAGGGAGCCCAAGGCCTCCCAGAGGCTAGGTGAATGTCTACTGCTCTACCTCAGGCTCACAAACCCAAACCTATAAATTCTTTTCCAGGACACCTCATTTCTGATGAGTTCAGAAAAACACAACAAGCTGTTAAATAGACTGCTGTCTGGGCAGCTGTCTGGGCAGACGTGCTCATCCTTCAAGAAATTGTAGCTAGACCCGACCTCACTCTGGTAACCTGCAGCCTAACTCCAGTGTGTGTCCCTCTTTGCAGCCACTGTCCTGCTTCCCCAGGTCACGTGCGTCTCCTTCAGGACACAAGCCTGACTGGCACTTGGTCTCTTTATCCAGTGCTGCTTCATAGCATTCATCATCACTGGTGTCTGTCTCCTGAATCTGAGCTCTAATAATGCACCACTGTGTGGGCTCCTTGTGTGACGTTTTCCTTATCTCTACACCCCAGTCTAGAAGTGTGAGTGAGGGGCAGGGCACTGTGACGTCTTCTTTATTGTTAGAGTCCCAGTGACTCAAAGCACTATGACACTGGATAGACACTCCAATACATTTTTCACAAATCAATGACTGCATAGCTTTCTAGGGTTTGTGTGTACATCTCATCTTTTAGCTTGTCATTTATTAGGTGAAAAAGCATTTAATTATCTTATTCTTTTTACATAATGATGATTACGACCACATTAGGCTAAAGATAAAGCCACTGAAAGACAGGGGTAGGCATAAGTCTAGTTCCTCACTCAATAAACTTAGAGATTTATAATTTGGATTATAGATGGGATCACTGGGTCATTAATTACACTCAATATTTCTTAGAAAGAAAAAGATTGGGCTGGGCATGGTGAAGCATGCCTTTAATTCTAGCATTTGGGAGGCAGAGGCAGGCAGAGTTCTAGGCCAGCTTGGTCTACAGAGTGAGTTCCAGATCCAAGACAGCCAGGTGTCACATTATTGTATCTTATGTAAGGAATTACATCTTATGAAAGGAAATCAGAATAACAACACTTCTTAAAATTCCTTTATATGGGTCTTTCCAAAATATCACATATGGCTTTCCAAGATATAGCTTGTCTCAGTAAGTAAAATGTAAATGTGACTCAGTATAATCCCATAAGGGCTGGGTAGGAATCAGGGCTGTTTTTCCCATTAAGCATTGTGTAAAGTAGCTACATTATTTAGGGGCTATATACCCCAAAAGGATTACTTTTTGCTTTTTAGTTCTTTCTTTCTCTAATTAAGTGCACAAGATGAATTAAAAGCACTTTCTGTATCACCGCCAATCTGACACCATGTAGGTAATTCTGCAGGTGAGATGGAGTGGCCAAAATGTCCATCTATAAATCCAGAAGTCACAGTGCAGTCTTGATGTCCAGTCTCTTTTAAACCTGGAAAACTGGCCCAAATTTTCCTGAGTAAACTGTGAGCTTCACAGCAACAGTGTGTATACTTTTCC